CTCACACACACACACCGCCGTTCAGGAAATGCCCAACTGTAGGTATTATTTCGTAGCATGTCCTGATATCTTGGCGCTCTGGCTGCCTTCAAGTTGTTGACTCAACCTGCTCATTAATTTTTTACGCTTAATGTGTTTTTCTAATGATTTTTAAATTGCTTCTCAGATTTCAAATTTTTGGCAGCATTGTGCAATATTTGGTTGTGTGGCCTCCTTTACTATCTCGAGCGGGCGGCTCCTTATTTGTGTGCGGCCCTCCTTGGGATAAACCAAATTCGAGCCAAGTAGAAGTCAAAGTTAAAAAGCGGCTCATTAGCGACTCATGTTTATATCTGTGCGTTTGTGTGTGTGTGTCTGTGTGTGTGTGTGTATTTTTCGGGGTGTCTGGTTGTATCCATATTAATTTACAGTTGATTCAACAACAGGCAGGACGCAAAAAATGTCGAATGCAATAATTAAAATGCAATAACAACAACAAGCAGCCGGCTTCACGGGCAACAACAATCTGCTAGACCAGTATTCAGTTCTTACCGCTCCCTGTACTTGCTTCGAATGCCTGGGCCAACAGGCTGTTGGGGTATATTCAACAAATTTTATTTTGCCAAGCGTGACTTGGGTTCAAAATAAGTGTTTTTCCATTTGGTGTACATAATAATAATAAAATTTTGTCAATAATAATATTCGTACTTTTTGTTAACCGTAACTTTCCTCTTGTTTTCTTATTCATTTGAGAAACTAATATTTTTTTTTTTAACTAATTACTAAAGTCATTAATATAACACTAGTAATTCATATAAAAAAAAATTGGTATTTTCAAAAATTGAATAAGAAAGAAAAGTGTAAAATGTTTGACAATAAATTTAATTTTTTAAAGGTTCGTATTTAAGTTGTTAAAGTACACTAAACTCTTTTAGTATTTTAAACTAATTACTTGACTAAAATTTTTTACGGGTTTTTTCCAATCATCGACCATGTGTTTAGCCAATATACAATTGCATTGACAGAAGAATAAAAAATTTAACAAAATTAAAAAAAAAAAAAAATATTGACAAATTTCTTACCTTAATATATAAACTTTGAATTAAAAAAAAATGATCAGAAGAAAACATTATGAATATGGTATAAGGTAAGTTGAATGTGTAATTTAAATTTTAAATGTGTAAAAATAATGGCATTTTCATGAAGTAGGCATAAGCATTGTTATTAACATTATATAAACAGATTTTCATTCATTTAACCCCTAAAAGTATGCAATAAGTGCGCGCTTATCATAGTCCGACATGCTTTTAACTTACACTTATATACTGCTTACTTATCCAGCTCTGTTAGCATCCAATTGTTTGCCACGCGCACACACACACACCCACACACACACAGAGAGGCACACGCACACACAGACTCACGCACACGCATGGCCTCGCATCACGCATAGGACGCGTTGTGCACTTTGCCACTTCTTTGGGCGCTGCTGCAACATTTTGTCTGACTGACAAATTTAATTACTGCTGGCTTCATGTCTGTCTGCTGTGTGTGAGCTACTGTATGTGAGTGTGTGTGTTGGGGAACTGTTGTTTGCGTCGTTACTGATATGGCAACAGGACCAGGGCCAGGGCCAGGGCCAGGGCCTGGTCCCGGCGCAGATTGAGGACCCGGACTGAAGTCACTTCATTTGATGCGTCAATCAGCACAATCAAAAACTGCAGCCCATGAAAATCAATTAAAAAGCCGTTGACACACTGCCCAGGCCCTGGCCAATGGTGCGCTCATCGGATTGTGTGTCCCTGGTGGTGTTGTCCTGGGCTGATGCTGTCAACAGCGCTCTGAACGTTTTGCAATTGACGCTGCCTGGATTAACATTTATATTTCAGCAGGCGCAGGACCTGTATACAATACTTTTTTTGGTTTCCTTTTTGTTTTTTTTGTTGGTTTGATATTCCTCCGGGGCGTTGTAATTCATTTGAAATGCAAATTCCTTTGTAGCGGATATAGCAACAACACACTTGCAAAACAAATCAAAGGCGTCATTCAGCGGCAACATGATGCGGCATTTTCGAGCTGGCGAGACTGGAATTGGAGTTGGAGTTGCAGTTGCTGGTGACGTCAGCGTATTGCATAGTTAATTGCTGGCCCCGCTGAGTTGCAGGAAAAAAAAAGAAAAATACAATAAAAAAAAATAAACAAGAAACGGAGGCAGCGCCACTTAATAAATGAAATGTCATTGAGGCGTGCGGCAATCAACAAAACAAAAATCCAAACGGATTTAACACCAAGCGGCACAAATGACGCATGAGTAGGCGCTGAAATTGTGGGTGGTGCAAAAGCAACTGTAAATGAACGCATACACCCACCAACTTACACACTGACTGACTGACTGACTGACTGACTGCTTGACTTGCCAGGCCCGGCAAACTGACAGCGTCCGAGTGAGCGCTGAGCGTCGCTTTATCTGCTTTTGAGTCGCACATGCACACACACACACACGCACTCGCACACACGCACACCACTTGTCATGGACACCCGCTGTCCTGCAACGCGTTAAGCTTGTCTGGACGCGACTTTTGTTTACCCTCAACCCATTTAAGCTTTAAACGTGCTGTTAACTTTTTTCCTGGACTCGCGGGCCTATTTTTGAATTAACTTAACAAAATGTTAATAAATTTAAGCTTGAAAATAATCGTGATTATATCAAATATTTTTAAAAAATTATTTTTAATATTATTAAAAATCAAATATACATATTTGATATATATTTATTTATATTATAAAATGCAGGCTGCCTTCATACAGTTTGGTCCTCTCCAAAACCTGTATTTATATATACAAAATATAGAAAAATTATCAATTATATTAATGAATTGTTGACCCGAAAATGTTTAGCTTAAAACACCATTTGCTCTCTCTGTTACAAGCTAAATGCTCCAAAGTGTGTACCCCATGTATCCTGGTCGGATAACACATTCGGCACGCACACAAAAAGAGGACATGAGCAACTGCAGCTGCAAGTGGCCCTCCTTCAGTTACTGCTACTGCTACTGCTACTGCCACTGCGACTTGCCGGCGGCAGTGGGATTGGGATTGGGTAGTGTTGGACGCGGCGTCATTGTAGTTGTTGCTGCTGCTGCTGCTGCGTCAGCTGCAACTGATGACATTGTCAGACAGCCAGGCGCACCCCGGGCTATGAAGGGACTAACAAGCCTGACAGTCACTCAGCGTCAGTCAGGCTCTGGGCCGGCTGCCCGGCTGCCCAGCTGCCCAGCCTGGGACGTTGTGCAAATTAAAAGTTTGGCCCACACTTGACACGTGCTTAGAAGTTGCAACGCCCCCACTTACCCCCCTAGCCGCAACGCAGCAATGTCCAGCCACCAAACGGTTGGTCGTTTTCTTTTTTTTTTTTTTCTTTTTTGGACACAGCATGTTTGTGGCTTGTGGCAGCGTTTTGTGTTTCCCACTTTCTATCTGTCGGGGCGGGCTTTAGGAGCTGTCACATGAAATTTATGAGACCCAGCCAAAACGTCAACTTGCGTGCAGCTGCATAAACTTGTTGCATATGTTGATGCATCGCAGCGCGGCAAAGGTAGACACTGCTGACAAAGCGACTGCCTAAAATTTATGCACTCGCCGCTAAGTGGCCTCAGCATGGTACAGAAGACTGTATAAAGTGGCTAAGACTATGGCTGCAAGCCTAACAACCGCCTTCGGTGGTTCGGTTCGCGGCGAGAATCCAATGTCTTGCCTTAAGGTTCGTTTCGAGGGCTAGGGCTTAAGTTTATGTAATTTAAAGGAATTTTTTCGAATTTTGAATATAGATATAAGTAAAAGTAATCCGATCGGGAGAGCTCGATTTGGGATTACCCTGGACCATATCTGGTAGCAGTAAAGTACAGACAAATTGGTGTAACTATGTTTCAATAATATTTTATTATTAAAGTTGAAAAATCCCAATGATCCTCAACAGCTTTATTATTACTTCTCTATTGCTGTTTCCCTTTTCAATGCCCATATCTTCTCTTGCATGGGTTTCATAGCTTTCGGCTTGCTTTCGTGAGTAGCATTCAATTTCTTGATGCTCTTAACTCTCTCGCGATTTGGCAAGACAAGGTTATGTAGTGTTGGGCTTTTGATCGCGTGATGTGCTCTACATAACCTCAACAGGGATCAATATTCTTCCTATATTGGTTCACTTAGTTCGTAAGTGCATAATTAAAAAAAAAATATAATAACTTGAACAAGCAAAGCTAATTTTTTATAACATAATATCGAAAAATAAAACCGGAACACTGTGAGACATGAATGAATAGTTCAGTTCTGGAACTAGTTCGTAAGGCAACTCACTTTAATATTGCTCAGTCAAGTCAATATATTCTAAGGGATCGCGTGAATTGGATACGAAAATCACACCCTCATCATTTTCTTCATCCGAACCACTTGCTTTAGATGAATTAATTTCCAAGCTTCCCAGACTGACTTTAATTTTTTTATTTGCTTGCATGGGAATGGGATCTAAGCTGTTTCTGCGTTTGCGAATCCTTTTTTTAACTGGACTTAGTGGAACAACACGACTTCTTAGTTTCATATAGCTCGGTGTATCCATTTTGAAATATGTTCTCAGTCGTTTTTTCTTGTTGTATTATGATATGACTGGTGTTCCAATTTGGAGCTGACTGTAGTTAAAAATCGAAAACAACGTAACGGATATCTAGATCTCCCTAAAGAGAAGTCAAGGAACATACAAAAATTTGAGGTTTTAGGGAACCATAAGTGGGTTTTGGTGAAATGAATGGAAGACTTTTGACTGTAATTGTTTGGTTCCAAGCTGTTTATAAGGAAAACATACAGTCCTTGGGCTCCATACCTTGAGACGGAAAAAGCTGGCCGAAGGAAACTTGAGCCAGAATCTTATTTTATTTTGAATATTTAACTTTAATCGCAAGCAATTTTAGCTGTTTGTGGACAACATATTTATATTTTTATTTAAATATTTAATTCTTTATTAATATTCAAAAAATAAAAGAACAATTTGAACATAATTTCAAGCACAAGTGCGCTCCCGCAATACCCTTAGTAGTTCCAGATCCTTCACAAGATAATCCAGATAGCTGTGAAAGTTGAAGGTCATGCTATTTAGAGCGCGCGTCGTTGTCTGCGAGATCATATCAAGGGTCAGGCATGGTTCCTGTTGCTGCCTGAGCAGCAGCTCGCGGACCAAACCGATCTGCCTATCCAGGTCAACAAGCGACTGAAAGATCAGCTCCAGGTCCTGATGTAACGAGCCGTGTTTATCCTCCTCTAGCGAGCGCACACAAATGGCTACGAGCCCGGGTATTAGCCAGACAAGTGGTCGGCCAAGGCACAGCTCGTGCTCCAGTTGCTTCGGTTCAATTGGCCGCTTAACCTGAAAGGGCAGTCGGCATTTGCAATAGCAAGTTAGCTTTTCCTTCAGCTGGCAGCTCTGCAGTTTGTTGCGCAGGTGGCACAGCAGACGCATCGGACCGATCAGCAAGGATTTATAGAGGGGCTGGCAGGGTGGCTTCCGGTCGCCGCAGCGGCGACTCCAATATCTGGAAGGTTTTGGCTTTGCCGCAAGCGGACGCAAGCCCGGATAGGCAGACTTAGCCGCGTGCTGACATTGCGGCTGCGGGATTTCCAGGCACTTCTTGAGTTTTAATGTAAACAGCGTAATCCTCTCCAGCAGCACATCGCGCAGCGCCTGCCAGTTTTTGGGCAGTCGGCGTAAATTGCCCTGCAGCTGAAATAGTTCGCATTGCTCGCCGCTCGAGCTGGACACCAGCATATAGAAGTCTCTGGCTGCCTGCATCTGAAAGCCATACAGCTGGCAGTCGAGGCTGAGCGCCAGGACCAGCGGCAGTCGCCGATCCTGCTTCTGCTGCACAGTTAGCGGCAGCTCGCAATGCATGACCATGCCGAAGACACGTTTGATGGCATACATCTTGAGGATGATCAGCATGGTCAGGCAGTTGGACAGGCGAAATAGCTGCCAGCTGGCCTCCCTGTCTCCGTTCATGTTTGGCCAGTAGATGGCGGCAAAGACGATCGTGTAGAGCATAACTCGCGGCAGTGTTGAGCGAAACTCGAAGTGTTGCCAGCTCAGCCATTCCGATGTGGCATGGTTCATGCGCACCATGGGCAGCGGCCACACTTCGCTGTTGAATTTGAAATGCTCGCTCAGGAAGTAGGCGAGGCCACAGAAGGCGCCGTTCATCAGCAGAAAATGGCCAGTGTAGCTCAAATCCACATCAACGTTCAGCTCATCCATATATTTCAAATACAGCCAGCAACTGCAGTAGCCCAAGCTAATAAGCACGGTCAGCAGACAGAGTTTAATTGGCAGCTCCTGTCTCATGCGCACCTGACGCGAACTGTGGCAAGCCGGCAGACGTTCGTGTATGCGGCATAGCAACAGCCCATAGATGGCCACATGGAGGCCCAGCAGCTGCATTCGAGTCATGGTATAGAACGAACATACAATCCAGTCAAACAATACAGACAGGCATTCAATTGGATGGGCGATATCGAAACGCTGGTAAAGCAAGAAAATCGCCAGCAGTTGGTACTCGGTCAGGTAACACAGCCAGGTGGCAAAGAGGTAGCGATTCAACAGCAGCCTGCCAATCATTGAATCTGGCGTATTCAGCTGGTACGGCAGGCCAAACGGCATGTTTATTTTTAGCTTTGGAAAACAAGACATTGGCTTAGATTCAAGATTGAGAATTATAAAAATATTTTGATTCGTTTTGATGTGTGCTTGGAATACAAACTGTATATTTACTAGGCCTCCTCAGATCAAAATATCCAAATTTGTGCAAGTTTCTTACTTTCGAAATGAGATTTTTTCAGTTTTGTGAAGAACGGGGTAGAAGAGAAACATAAAAGTGAAAAATATATATAGGAGAAACTACATATCAAATTTGAGGTTAGCAGTTTTTACCTATTCTTGCTGCTATCAATTGTGTTGAGTATCCAGTCATATCTATATCTGGGTCCTCCGCATTCTTGACCGCAAATAAACCATGTCAAAAAGCTGATTATTGGTTATCAGAGATACACCAGAAGTCTTGTTGGCATGACTATTCGTCCTGACCCGCAGGTCATATCAGATCCTTAGTGATTCTCGGTATTGAGTTTCTTGGGCAGCATTGTTGGAATCTCGGGAGTTGTCTCATTGAGTTGATTCTAACCTGACTTAAAGGCGACGGCTGCATTTATTGTACTTTTCTTGTTAGGGGAATCGTCTGCACCAAGCGTCCAAGAGTGAGCTTCATTCGAATAGGTCACAACATTTTCAGGTCAACTGACATTCCTTAGTGAAATGCGCTGACCACCAGATATTCATGTGGATGACCCAGCTTGAATCGAGAATAGTTTAATATTAAAATGGGCAGCAGAAATAATATCCTAGCAGTAATGATAGCTTATCAGGCTACCTCTTGGAAATCGATAGGCTTTCTATATATTTACAATGCGTGGTTTCCATGGGTTCCTCGAGAGCTCGCGCACATCCTTTCGCTGCAGCTGCAGTTGACAATAGCAGGACCGGTAAAAGCTAGTTAGACGACATTTTGTTGAAGAAGAAGTTGCCCACTATTCAAATTGAGTCCAAAACTTAAAGCTTGTATAGGCCTTTTTGTCTGGCGGTTGATAGTTTATCTTTCATTGGCAACATTGCTTGCGCTTCTAACTATAACTCTTTGCTGGGGCATTATTGGCACGGTAAATGAGCCACGCATCGTTAACGAATTAACATAGTTTAGAAAAATATTTTGTTTTCCAGTAATTTGTTTCAATACAATGCCACCACGACCGAACTAAAACAATTTTCTTTTATTGCGTTCAAAGTATGTTGTATGTTTTGTTTTAAGCCCCACAAAATATGTATACATAAAAATTCTTTAGCATCAAATATAAGGGGCAAGACTTTCTGTTTTTCGCCCGTAACTCGGAGATTATAAGAGCTAGAGTCATCAAACTTGGTATGTATAGAAAAAACAATTGCAGATTAATTTTTTTCGAAAAGAGCGCTCTGACTTGTCTTCCTTTTTGAAATGCTATAAACTTAGATTGCGAATCTATTTTCAGCTAAACCGCTTCGAATGCGGTTCGAACCATGAATTAAAAATACTAAATTACAACACTTTTATTGCTATACTTTAAGCACGAGATCATTTTTTTAACAGTTGGTCAGTTCTTTAATTTCTGTTTTTAACCACTTTTTATAATATGCAATATTGGTGTATACTCCTGGAAATCCCTGTGCGGCACATCCTCTGCCCCAAGATACAATACCAACAAGTTTCTTTTTGGAGACCAATGGACCACCGGAATCACCCTGGCATGCGTCGTTGGCATTTAAGGCGGCACAAATCATTTGCCTGGTGATACTATAGCCATACCGCCCATAGTTGGTATTTTGGCATTTTTTGTAATCCATTATACGAAGGTTCACTGCTTGCAGAATCTCTGGGCGCTTTGTTGATTTCGCTTTGAGGAGACCCCAACCTGAAACAGAGGCTCCAGTTCCATCACGTGGAACTGACGAAGTTAATGTAATCGGCTGCGCAAGGGGTCCAAACTTCAGTGGGGTTGCCAATCGCATGATTGCAATGTCATTAAGATATTTCTTCGCTCGATATTCGGTATGAGACTTTATTTTCGCTACTTTCACAACCTGGCCACCCTTTTTCCAAAACCTAGATCCAGCTCGTATAGTCAACGTTTTTACATCCATGTTGACCAAACAATGCGCAGCAGTTAAGATTATTTGACTGGCCACAATTGAGCCACCACAAAAGTGAAACCCATATTTCTGTATCGATACCTGCCAAGGTGCTTCCTGTATGTCAATGGGGTGTCCATTCACAATGCGATACGCGTCTAAGACAGTCATCGTGCAGAATAACAGAAATAGCACAAAAAAGTAGCTGATCCTCATTTTGTGATTTCTATATTTCTGGTTTATGCTTCTAGTCCCAGACTTAAGAGTTTGACTCTTTTTGTGACACTCTCGTATTGTTTAGGATGCCATAAAAATGTGAAACATCTTTAGTTACGGCCATGTAAGGGTATTTTAACTGTAACGTAGCGTTAAGAGCCATTTGTAACACACTAATTATTTTTCAAGAAGAACAGGTAAGAGTACTCTATTCGGGAGTGCCTGTATCAGTCCCGAGATATGAATAAGTTCCGGCAGTTTTGTGTATTGAATGTGAAGTCTATGTTAGTTGGTTGAGTCTTGGTTGTCACTTTGTATTTATCTCTATTTGCCTGTTCAGGTGTGTTTGCCTAAGCTTGATTTGCACTCAATCATCTAAATCGAAAGCCCCTGCTATTACTTTTAAAGCTGTTCCCAGTAGATTTATGATGCGGAAATATCTATGATTAACTTTTAAATGTTGATGTGAATGTGTCGATGTGTCCAAGCTCTGTAGTCAGCATTTTTCCAATGTCGTCCTGGTTAAATAGGTCTAGAGTCTTCATAGTCTCGTGCAATGTCACATTCTCAGTGTGTCACAGAACTGTTCGATCCTGTCTGATCCGATATGTTTCCACAATGTCTTCTGTGACCCCAGTCAACTTCTCTCCCAGACTTAACCTTTACTGATACTTTTTAATCTCCACTTTGTGACTGAATGATTCATTCCATCGTTGGAAACAAAATAAGATCGACAGTTTCACTTATTTGTTTACTGAGTTTCATGCAACGTGCGGTTTCCGCTAATGTGCTGTGGCATCTCCTGACTTGACTTGACTTCATACATGAACCGATAATCGAGAGCTTGCTCCGTTTCCAAGCAATCCATACATACCGATAACAACTATATGTACTATCAACCAATTTACGCCTCCATTTAAATGCTGTTGTATTTTGGGAATAATCTATAGCACAATCAAATCCTCTACCGGAAATTACATCGACATCTTGATAACAAACATGTGCTTACATACACATACATACATGCACACACACACACAAATATATTAGCCATTGCATTGTGTCACAAGCCATACAATCGATAGAGGCTTCAAATTGATCCGAAAGTGTTGAAAAATTTTCTGTTGCGACCGAATCCCATGAATACTACTTGAGTCCATTTTGGTATGCCCGATTGCTGAGAGTGTCAACCGAACGCTGAGCTTGGGGAGCCGAACGATCAGAGAGCCGAGATCTGCATACATATGCATGTATTGTGTGGATGTCCGCAGAAGTCGTTTGACGCGAGCCACGCATACAAGTACTTCAACAAATCTCTCAAGTTTTTATTATTATATTCTTAACAATTGACTGTTGAATTATCGTTATCGCTCATTTCCAGTTTTGGGATTTCGGACTTTAGCCACCTGCTATAATATGCAATATTCGTGTACACGCCTGGAAATCCTCTTGACGCACATCCTTTACCCCAAGATACAATACCAACAAGTTGCTTTCTGGAGACCAATGGACCACCAGAATCACCCTGGCATGCGTCGTTGGAATTTAAGGAGGCACAAATCATTTGCCTGCTGATATAATAACCATACCGTCCATAGTTGGTCCTTTGGCATCTTTTATAAGTCATTATACGAAGATTCACCTCTTGCAGGATCGATGGACGCTTTCTTGATTTAGCCTTGAGCAGACCCCAACCTGTAACAAAGGCTTTAGCTCCCTCACGTGGTACGCTCGAGGTTAAACTAATCGCTTGTGCGTTGTATCCAAGTCTTATCGGTTTGGCCAAACGCATTAGTGCAATGTCATGAAGATGTTTTCTGGCATGATAGGCATTATGAATCTTTATTTCCGCTACCTTCACAACCTGGCCACCATTTCTCCAATACTTAGATCCAGCTCGTATACTTAAAATTCTTGTTTCCTTCCTCGCCAAGCAATGCGCAGCAGTTAGTATTATTTTACTGCTCAAAATTGAGCCCCCACAAAAGTGAAACCCATTTTTCTGTATCGATACCTGCCAAGGTGCTTCCCGTATGTCAATGGGGTATCCATTCACAATGCGATTCGCGTCTAAGACAGTCATTGTGGAGAATAACAGAAGCAGCAGAAACAGGTTGCTGATCGACATTTTGTGTTTTCTACTTTGACACTTTTTGTAAGAGCTTATTGAAACTATATTGCTGGCAAGTTTCGTAGATTGCAAATCTCTCTTCCAGCGCACTCGGAAGCAGTAATATGGTTTGAGATCCCAATAAAAATGTGAAACATCTTTAGTTACGCCCACGATAAGGGTATTTAAAATGTAATCTAGCGTTAAGAGTAACTTGTTACATACGTGAGCAATTTATTATTCTAGCAACATCAAATGCAGATTGCCTTCAAGCATTCAAGCATTCAATATAACTACACCTTTTCTTTAATAACTTCTGAGTATCTTAACTGAACTTTTCATAAAATTTTCAGCGGTTGTTATTATGGTATTATACAATATTTGTATATTCCCCTAAAGACAATTACTGAAATTTGTGGACAGTTTCAATTGATTCATTTATTTGATGTACAGCTATGAGATTGGTGTAGCATTTTTTGTTTATATTTCCTTTAATTTTCATTTGCTCGTGAAATTCACTCCCGTCTTCTCACGTACTTAAATATCCACTCTCGGTAGTGAGCAACATCGGTATAAACTCCTGGATGTCCTTTTCTTGCACATCCAATGCCCCAAGAAACAATACCCACAAGTTGATTGTCCACAACCAACGGTCCACCAGAATCGCCTTGACATGCATCTCTAGCACTGCTTGTAGCACAGATCATGCCCTTATAAACTTTCTTACCAAGTATAGCATATTTGGACATTTGACAGGTCCTGCGATCGATTATACGCAGCGTAGCCATTTGCAAGTTTCTTGAACCGACAGTTGCATTCTCATTTTGAAGACCCCAGCCTGAAACAGAGGCTACGGTTCCTCTCTTAGGAGTTTCTTTTGCAAGTCGAATTCTATACGAATTGCGGGTATAGTTAAGTCTCTGGTCTAGTCGCACGATGGCGATATCGTTCTTGGTGGGATTGGTACCATAATTCGGATGCCTTTTGACTTGAGCCACATGTAATAGCTGTCCACCACGATTCCAGTACTTGGATCCTGCTCGCACTTGCAGTAGAAATGCAGGGATGTATAACACACAATGCGCGGCAGTTATGATTGTTTTAGAGCTTATAATGCTGCCACCGCAAATGTGATGTCCCAACGCTTGTATCGAAACCTGCCAGGGTGCATCGCGTATAGAAATGGGAACTCCATTGACAATCCGATTGTTACTCCGTGAAATATGGCTTGCGCCCAGGACTGTCGTCGTAGAAAGTAGCAGAAGAAGCAGTAAAGCCCATCTAATGGGCATTGTGTATTTAAAATGGTAATTGCCCTTTACATCCAGTTGAAAGGATGACTTGCACAGATCTATGTTAAACTGCAAACAAATATTTTTAAAATATTTATATTGGTTCATTTGCTACGGTAAGGTAAGGGTGAACTAATGCGTTACGTATTTGTAAATCATGTTATATATGCATAGTTTATATAATACTAGATTAATATGTTCTTTGAAAATAATCCAAAATATTTTCTTATTTAACAGTGCTCGACTAGGTATATTATTACTGTATAAGATACAAGTGGATCTTCCTGAAAATTGCTGTGATCCAGTTTTTCCTATATATTTTCTTGTCCACCCAACTACCTTGAACCGATCGCAAAATCACGTTACACTTGACATTTAAGTACATGGGTAACCCGCAACTAGCTTCAACTGCCTTCAACCAGACCGATCCACATAGTTGCCACCGCCTCCTTGTTCACAGCCATGCCAGGAATTCGTCTTCCATGAAAAAAACTGAACTAAAATAGCAGGACGTGCACAGACCCAACATAGGATGCAGTCGCAATTACAACTGCTATTTGTGTGTATTCCAGTGTGTGCATAAAAACACATTTTCTTTAATAACTTCTGTGCTTCTAAAATGATCTTGATAAAATTCCATCAGCAGTAGTTCTTATTATTCTTTAGAACAAACGTACTTGCTTAAAAAAACAATATTATTAAAATTGTGGCTTAATTTGGATGTTAGTTTTCATTGATTTATTTATTTGATTTATAGCTATGTGGTGGAGGGGAGGGTGACGATAGCTATAAAATTAAAGACATCAAATATATATCGATATCGATTCTTACGGGTTGCTTGGAAACGGGACAACTTATCGGGTTATGTGCTGGTATTAGAAGGAACTACGTGCAATTTTAATTCCCCAATAGTTTCTGGGATCGATGCATTCATACATGAGGACATTCACACGGACACGGCTAGAGCTACTCGACTGTTGATACTGATCAATAATATATATATTTTATGGGGTTGGAGATGAACAGAATCCTTATAACATTTTTACAAATTTTCAATGGGTTCAGTGTATAAAAAATAAAAAAAAACCAAAGAAAATGTTCAATGTTATTATTCGTTTCGCCTTTTTCTCTGTTATTTGCTTTAAATTGAAATTATTGATTGTTTTACTGTAAATGGTAATAAATTAAATATAAAAATTAATAATTCCCGTCGAATTTGAAAGGGAGCTGTCCTTGTTTAGTACGACACAGGTTCACGACGTCACGTTTGGATAGCATAATTAAAAGACTTTGTTGTTTTTATTGGCTGCATACATACTTTGATCTCTCCAATTGGGTCTTCAATTTTCCAAAACCCCGTCTGATTGCCCGATTGTAGACCTTCCATCAATGCCTTACTAATGTCGTGATTATAAATTATATTTAAACTCTTAATTATTTTTATAAATGTCCATTTGTTCGTCAAATTTTAAGAAATTCAACTTCCTAAGGTATCCATGTTTTTTAGTACCCAGTCACGGTAGTAAGCAACGTCGGTATAAACTCCTGGAAATCCGCGTTTTGCACATCCCAGGCCCCAAGAAACAATACCCACAAGTTTTCCATTCGCAACCAAGGGTCCACCAGAATCTCCCTGACATGCATCTTTACCACCGCTAGCAGCACAGATCATGCCTTTAGTTATTTTCATTTTACGTTCAGCATATTTGGACTTCTGGCAGGTCCCGCGATCGATCATAGACAGTACCGCTATACGCAAGTCTATTGTAAAGGCATTTTTGTCCTCTACATAACGACCCCAGCCTGAAACAAAGGCGGTGGTTCCATCATAGGGAGAGTTGCTCGCAAGGTCAATCTTATTTGCTTTGTAGCTGAGGTTAAGTTTCCTTTTCAGTAGCAGCAGGGTGATGTCGTGTTTATATGGGCTGCCTACATAACCCGAATGCTTTTTGGCATATACAACATTAACGAGCTGCCCACCAGTATTCCTAAATGTGGATCCTGCTCGCACTTGCAGCTGATGTGCAGGGAGATTCAGACAATGCGCGGCAGTTATAAATTTTTTAGCGTTTAAAATGCTGCCGCCACAAATGTGATTTCCCATTACTTGTATCGAAACCTGCCAGGGTGCAAAGCTTATAGGAATGGTTATTCCATTGACAATCCGAAGGTGGCTCTGTGTAGTTTGGCGCACACCGAGGACAGCCGTACTAGAAAGTAGCTGTATAAAAAGTAAAGCCCAGCTAATCGGCATCTTATACCTAAAATTGTATGTGCCCTTTACATTTAGATCAAACGATGATTGGCACAGATCTATAGTTAAACTGCAAACAACTATTTCTAAAATATTTGAAGTGGACTTGAACCTCTTTAGTTTTGGTTCATTGGAACTAAAGCGTTACGTATTTGTAAATCATGTTATATATGCTTAGAAAATACTAGACTAATATGTTCGCATGTCGATCACATCGAACACATTTTGTTGTTATAGACTGCGTCAAGAGAACAAAAATATATAAAATAAAATATATATAATGTCCGACTCTGCAGTCTGTCGGTTAGGGTTAATACCGGCTTGCAGTTTTGTTAAATATATTTACTTAAAAAATATTTGCTTTGCTTTTAAAATTGGATTCACGAAACACTCAACTCTACTCTATGAATATTTTTACACTTTTTTCTATTTGGCGCATGGCGCAACAATTGCAAGAGCTGCATAATATTTTTAGCAGGTTCAACTATTTTTAATATGTTTCTTAAACTATAGTGAGTTATTGTTGTTGCATTTTGCAACGCTACAAATTGAATTAAATATTATTTATGGTCGTGCATTTTTGCAAGCGTCGCAAAACAAAGTTTTTGTTAGGAAAAGTTACACACATGGAATTGCATAATTCCGAGGAATAATTTGGAAAACCAACTGGCGGCCTTTTAAGCCTGCCCGCCTGAAGTGCGGCAAGAGTGTGTGCTTAGTGTTGGGGGGGGGGGGTTAAGGTGGGGGACTTAGACATGGGTAGAGGGGGTGGAGGCGGGTCGGGTTTGGTTGGCACTTAACCCGCTCACAGGCACATTTGTTTTTTGTGTTGTCTTCGCATCGCATCGCGTTGCGTTTTTTTCAGCGCATGTTGAGCGTAAATATGTCTATCCTGTTAGGCAGGCAAGCGGGGTATACACGACTTGGGTATAGAGCAGTGCTACAATGTGCAGTACAAAAATATGTACTACAAAAACAAGCGTAAGTATAATAAAATAAAAAATTTAATGAAAAATTGTTAAAAAAAAAAGAAATAAGTTATTATTAATAAAAAATTAATAGGTTTTAAGGAAAATTTGGTTCTGAGAGAAAATTATACATAGATTTATCTTATTTTGAGGTAAAAGAATTAAAGTTCTGATATCACATTTATAAAACGATGAAGAAAAAGTGCAGGCAAATGAACAAATTTCCAGTAAATTATCAATACTTAATAATAAGTTAAGGGAATTCTTATCTTATTTTGAGCTGAATGAGTTAAATTTTGAATTGAATTGAATGTAATTATAAGGTAACTTCTAGTCGTATATATGAGCTTGCAAGGTCTTAACTTGTTTGCTGGCTCTGTTGGGGCTTTTAGTTGTCAACAAAAATATCACTTGTTTGCATGAAAATCTCAGCCGCTGGTGGTGGATGGATGCTCTAACCCAGTAAATTGTGAATGGTAAGTGGTGTCTATGTAGCTGGCTGTGATGTGGCGCCCACATCTGTTTGGTGTCATTCACGTTGTCGCAGTGGCACGATGATAAAGAGAAACAAAGCAACGGCCGCGTTGCTTGCAACAAAAATAGCAAACGCGTGCGGAATTGAGCAATTTTTATGAATAGCAATAGTCACAAATGGAGTCAGGGGCCAGTTACCCCCTCGCACACACACACACACACACACACACGTACGCACGCACACGCCCCCTCACGCCAGTTGCCTGTGGTATAGGCAGTTAGTGTGGCCAGGCCTTTAGTTCATCTGTCAAGCGCTGGACTGGGAGCATGCTTGACAGTTTGACGCCCCGTAATTCATGGCATGATGAACGCCAACTGTAAAACCCCATTTTTTAGCCATATTTTTTGCTGTTGATGTTTTTGTTGCTGTTTTTTATTTTTGCTGACATTTTACTCGTGACAAAGCGGGCCTACAACATATGTTATCATTTAACATGAGTTTTTTCCCGTGAAGTTTTTGTGCACAGCAGCAAATTAAATTAAACATATTAAAAATGCTACTAATTTCATTTCGCTGGCGCATCAAATTCAATTTTATCAAACGAAACTGAAAAAAATGTAAAACCCAAAAACGGTTGCGGAAAAATTGGCAAAGGGTTTTGCTGCTCATAATTTATTACCTGTAGTCGACCAACTTAATTATGCGCTTAACGTAATTATACGTAGCGAAAAATCGAAGCACAAATTGCGCAAATGCCAAACGCAGTCTGAAACACGAAGAAAATTACGGATGTGCATGCAGCGACATCGGAATACCCTAGCTTGAACTGCCAATTTCGTATTCCTGAACCAGAATTTTGTTTTTGCTTCTTCTAAACTTAAATTCTCCCTAAACACTAATAACATTTTTAAATTAATTAAGCTTGCGTTTGTTCGATGGAATATCGGGATGGAACAGCATGCCAAGTGCATTCGTAGCTTAGTGGATTATTGAATTGAATTCGGTTCACTTATGACCTTTTTTAATGGAACGTTGGAATGGATCACTTTAAACACTTTAACATCTTAGTGTTTCGATTCCACTCGTTCCACCCTTGGCGTTTCTTCTTAGTTTACAGTTTAGTAAGATACAAATATGTATTGTCTCATTTACAAAAAATCTTAATATCATAGCCTGCTTGGAATGACATGGAAATCACATTGCCAGCATGCAAGAAAACATATTTTGAGCTTGTTCGGTGCAATACTGGAATGGAACAGCTTGGTGGATTATTGAATTGAATTCGTATTAGCTTGGACTTTTATTTTCCTGAAACGTTGGAATGGAACACTCACTTTATTTTAGTTCACAGCTATATGTCGATTCCACTCGTTCCACCTTTAATGTTTCTTCTTAGATTTCAGTTAAGTAAAATAAAAATATATATTGTTCATATTATAACAGCCTTGAAATGGTGTAAACATGATATGAAAATCAGAATGCCCGCTTCAAAGATAATCAAAAATGCTCCGTTAAGGCAGACGTCGCATCGTTGGCGCTTTGCAAAATTTGCTGCCCATTCATAAAAGCGATAATTGAGTCGACGGCGGCGCCGACTGCGCCGCACGGTATTGACCGCATCGCACAATTTTTATTCAGCTGCGTAATGGCCGCGTCGACAACTGTCCCGACTTCCCCATATATCCCGCCAACCCCTATCCCGCAACCGATCTCTTTGGCCACGTTACTAGCGGATAACGCCTGCAGCTGCGAGTTGAACTAATTTAATTAATTGAATTCATTTGGTGACTCTGCCGGCGACCAAAACACGCCAATGCACATGTGTGTGTCTGTGTGTGTGTGTGGGGGGGTGGGGGGGATAGTGTGTGTGCGTGTATAACACCAAATTAACGGTGCAATTGCCGCCTACCGCACTAACGCAGCCACTCCCCCATAAAGAGGCGCCCGAATTGCGCGTGAAAGAGTGCATTTTTGGTTTCGGCTTTTGAGGTTGCGTCCGCCTTTTTTCTTCGTCGACCATGGCCAGATAAAACTGATATTACCAGGTAATACCAGCGGCAGCGGCAGTTGACTGAACTGTGGGTTGTGCGGGGTCTATGAATTGGGCTGAGGCTGGACAGTGTCCAACATACGGTTTTGTGGCCAGCTAAACTGTCACTAGAAAATGACAAAAGGCTTGGCTAATTTAAGTTTTACATACATTTTACATTTTCTATTGCTGTAGAGATTATTTGAAGCGACTTCCACTAGATATGTATCTAATATTTCGATTTTTAGCTAAAACTTGACTACGTCTTCATAAGAAAATGTTAACATAATATATTTATGTACAGATAAAATGTGAACTTTGTTTAATAAAAACCAATATACAACACACTACGGTGTACAATGTATTAAGGCGATTAACCCACTATTATGTCAGAATAAGTTTAAAAACTCAGTTTTTATACCCTTGTAGAGGTTAATATATACATATATAGTATACATATATAGTTGTATATATATACGCATAGAATGCGACATTGCCGACCTCATAAAGTATATATTCTAGGTCAATATCAACAGCCGAGTATATATAGGCATTCTTCCATCTGTCTGTCCTTCTGTATGTGTCTTTGCGAATAAGTCTCCGTCATATTAAAAACTTTCTTTCTGGATGGGACCGCTATATCATATAGCTGCCAACGATCGATTGTATGAAAACTTTTCTGTTTATCAAGAAATCTTGACCGAACTCGACATTTATTTGTTTCATGGTCGAAAAGTAGGTTCTTATACGTAAATATTTTGTTTCCAAAATAATTTCATCAAGCTCAGCATTTTCTCGTTAATCTTATCAATATTTATACATGCATTTAATTTTTTTAAGACGGGTTTCTTTTAAGCAACTGCTTAAAACAGTAAATGTCTTATTCACAGCAAAATCAATCCATAGTTTTTTTTTAGCATATCATTACTGTTTTTGTACTATTGATTTATTTTTAATTTTATTATTCTTTTTGTTTATGAGAGAGGATTAAACTACAATCATATGGAGTTAGCTTGATAATTCACACATAATATCGCTTCATTAAATAAAAATTAGCTATGACTTTTGATTGACTTAATATAATATTTGCTGACTTCAGCCCTGGTTAGCTAAGCTCCGGAGCCTGTCACGGGTTGCTAACCTTGATTAATGTTAACTACTCCAATTGTATCGGCTGCAGGTTTGCCTTTATCCCAAATTGAAAATAATTGCAATCAGTTGCCAGACGACGCCGATACCTTTGCGGCCTTTCCAAATTAGCGCATCGCTGCCCGCCTGCCATTTGAATTATAGGGTTCGAGGCCTCAAATTTGATGCAAGTGCCAAATTGTTGCACTATTTACAGCATTTTCACTTTTAACAGCTGTTGGCATCAGCTTTAATTTATCCATTTCCGCCTGTCTGACCGTATGTATGAATGCAAAGATCTCAGAAACTACAAGAGCTACAATTATCTGTCATTTTGTAGCTATCGCCACCTGGCCGCATCCACCACATAGCACAAAATCAAGTAAATAAACTAATTTGTATTGCCTAATTTGTTAATGCAATTAACTTTTTGAGAATATACAAATATTATATATATGTAT